AACACGTCCTTGATTTCTTACTTGGTTTTTACCTTGACCATCTGGACGGTTGTCAGTGTGAAGCAGAAATCGCTTATCCTTCTGGAGAACATAATTGTGTCTGTAGTTTTATTAGGGTGCATGCTTGTCACTTGTTAATTCCTTAGTTTCTAAAGAAAGAACGGAGATATTATCATAGCTATGCCTGTCCATAATAAACAATGCGTTGTTAACGTTATTGAATCTTCAGTAATAGCGGGGCTACATACTAATCGCTACGTTTATCCGCCGTCACTTGTTATCTGCAACTCTTCCTAAGCCTGAAAACCGCCAATGTGGTCACGTGGTAGCGTGTTCGCCTCGAGTGCGGGAGGTCGTGGGTTCAAAGCCCGGCCGGGTCAAACCAAAGACTTTAAAATTGGTATTTGCTGCTTCTCCGCCAAGCACGCGGCATTAAGAAGTGAGAGCAAAGACTGATTGACTCGGTATCAGAATAATGTGTCCGAGTAAGGTGATAAGTCTTCCTGCGGACTATTACCTTGTGAACTAGCACGTTAAAAATCCGGCTCAGCGTGTCGGTCTAGTACAAAGCAGGGTTTCTATTCATATTACATTAACATGTTCTCGTCCTAAATATGCATATTATTTTGCCGCTGGACGTTAAACAGACATCCATCATCATCATCATCATCATCCTAAGCCTGAACGAATGCTGCCCCGTGCAATATTTCAAAGGTTACCTCCTCCCTCTGTCTACATGATTTGATTTGTGTAGATTATTATGTTTACTTGTTTTATGCATTAAGCTTCTGAATTGATAGACCTGATTAGTGTTATAAGTTACAGATGTAGAGTTGTTTTGAAAAATGTAAAACAACTCAAAAAAAGTAGTTTTGTGTTCTCGTGTGGAGGAAGCGAAATACTGTGAGACTTAGGTGTATATATCCAACGCAATCATAGGTTTGGACGTTGTTTTCAATTTAGACTTGTTAATATTTTTTCGTTTGGGCATGTTTTATATTTGCCTTTGGGTTTATATGATCCGTTCATCCTATTTCGACTCTTCAAAATTCAAGAGTCTATCCTAAATTGAGGTAAATTATATGGCCTTCCAAATACCCTCTTGATTCCTAACATCACTGAAGAGACATTAATTGTCGAAATCCGGATATGGTGTACTAGTTTTTACACCTTTTGTTTGCGGTATGATACCATCTTTTCCGCAAATTTATTGTTTTCTGTTTGGTATTAAATTAATAGTTAAGATTCATTTTGTTACATCTGGTGATCCGCTTATTTGGTAATCGCCAATGGCAGTCAGCAGGGTTTAAGAACATCCGTTAACGTTGTTCGACCTGCTAGTCAAATGCGTTTTGTTGAAATATACTTTGTCACTTTTTTGGTCTTTTGGAAAAGGTTGTTTGTGCTGTATTTAGACCCCTCTTCCAAGAAATTTGTTTTGCATGCACACGTATATAAATTGCGGTTTTTATCCAACGCAATCATATATAGGTTTGAACGTTGTTTTCAATTTAGACTTGTTTATATTTTTTTCGTTTGGGCATGTACTATATTTGCCTTTGGGTTTATATGATCCGTTCATCCTATTTCGACTCTTCAAAATTCAAGAGTTTATCCTAAATTGAGGTAAATTATATGGCCTTCCAAATACCCTTTTGATTCCTAACATCAATGAAGAGACATTAATTGTCGAAATCCGGATATGGTGTACTAATTTTTACACCTTTTGTTTGCGGTATACCATCTTTTCCGCAAGTTTATTGTTTTCTGTTTGGTATTAAATCAATAGTTAAGATCCATTTTGTTACATCTGGTGATCCGTTTATTTGGCAATCGCCAATGGCAGTCAGCAAGGTTTAAGAACATCCGTTGTTCGACCTGCTTGGCTAGCGAAGATGGCACACGTATATAAATTGCGGTTTTTATCCAACGCAATCATAGGTTTGAACGTTGTTTTCAATTTAGACTTGTTACTAATAGTATGTACATTCATATGTTTATATTTGTGCAAGTGCAACTGTTATTTTCGAGTCTCTGTATACATCATTTTAATTTGGATCAATTTATTGTGCATATATTTCATATGTTGTCGTTTAAAAAACACGGCTTTTTGTCTGTGTGTTTGCTCCAACGCTGGAGGAAAATACCTAAAAAAAAGAGGGAGATGATCAATACACAAACTCCGAAACCGATGATAATGACTGATAGGACATTGGGAAATCATTTTGTGTTTTGTGATTTTCAAACTATCACAAGGGAGCATTTCAAACTACAGTTTGCATACTACATTTAGGGAAGAGATACATATTGATTGATTTGATCTGGATGGCGGATAAGCGAAACAAAAAACAATGTCTTTTCGTTAAGTATTATAGATTCATCTATCGAGTCTCGAATATCCATACTGTGAGACCAACCGTATATAGTCCCCTTCCTGACGTGTTCAATTTTATAATTAATCCAAGCCAATATATAGAATCTAAGCCACAACAATATTGAATAAGGAACCAATAAGGAACTAATTGTTGTTCGGTAATAATTTCAAGATAGCGTGTATATATACTGCAACTAATAGCTACATCGCGTTGTGATGCAAAACAACAACGGTCAACCAAATCATGACGGCATGCGTAAAATTTTCAAAGGGATGACTTCAAATGCACCTTTTGTAAGCACCAATCCTCTATCATAATTAAGGAAATAATGATAGGAAACGCAATTAATCTCTTGAATATCGTATCAACTGGGAGATCTACACTCCATTATGCAGGCGCTGCTTGGATGTTTCTTCATAAAATTGGAAAGTTCCCAAAATGATATCTGAAATCGTCTTAAATTAGCTTTCAATCGAACTACATTGTCAAACTCTTGATGTCAATATATGAGACAAACTTAACTGCATCTGTTATATCCTTTATTTCAAGTTCGATGGGATAGATGCGTTCAACTATTTCTAAGTAAGAGGACAGACACTTTCATATAGCGGCGCGCGATGTTAAATTATGAGGCCAGCTTTTTTCATTCTTACTGAGAAGTTGCTTTTTGGAAGTCTGCTTCATATGAATAAACGAAAAAGCCGGCAAGATGAGGAGCACATGCAATTGGTTCTCATATAAAGGATGTATGTCTGTTGAAAAAAAACACGTCCTCAAAATGTAACAAATATGTTTTAGTTAAAAAAAAATAAGCGTCCTGATGATGCCAGTTTCAGAGAATTTATTTGTTTGATTCAGAGTTTTTTTTTCTTCAAAAGAATGATTTATTCCTTCCTAAATGATGACAAGACCATTGTATCTACGTTAACCATTCTTCTATATCTTTCAATCTGTCTTTATAGTTAAAGGTTTCCAGTATGCCATTAAAATGACATCTATTTGACCAAAATGTTCATTACTTGTAGAGACTGGTTAAATTATTTATGAGCAAAAGCATGTAAGTTACTCAAAACGATATTCGAGTCAATCTGTGTATAATAGACGATAGTGAGAAAAAATAACTTTTTGCGTGCAACTGTTGGACGATGTCATGGTATGATTGACAATGGGACGACTATCCTCAAACTAGTATATCAAATATGACATTTGGGAGACTTTTGTGTCTTTTGAACATATGCATGGACGATGCTGATTTAAAGAGTTATAATACTTCGTGATTTTAATATTTAATATGCCATCAAAGTTGCATTATCATACCTTCTCTTTTGAACTTGACCTTTACTAGTTGAATGATTTAAATCGGTTGTCAAATACTGCATTAAGAAAATATGTCCTCTTTATCTGAGTAGCCTACCTACTGCGACAAAAGCCTCGACTCAATGCTGAACTAAGAATCTCGAAAACCTTTGCAAATAATTTGTCCAGCAAAATGATTAAATTTCAAGATAATTTATACACTTTTCAGAATTGGAAAGTGATTGGCTTCCTTAAAAATGGATGACGCAAATCGAATCGCGGAGTTTCTGATTCATCTTGTGCCTCCTTCATGTAAAAAATAACACAATAACCGTGTGCTTAACACCAGCAATAGACAACTTAAGAAAGCCACTTCAAAACTAGGCAAGTGCTCAATGTAAGGAGCTTCATTTTATTGCATGATTTCTGTATAATAGATTTTTCAATAACACAAGAAAACAGAATTGTATGACATGAATAAAGTGCTAATCATGAATGTAGAGAAGGGATTAAACTGTTTTCGTTTCCGTAACTTTACCCGCCCCTTCTCTAAAAACAACTGACCGTGACTGTCGGCACTTCATTAATTGTTTAGTGGTATACATCAAACTGGAGCAAAAATGGTATTTCAAATTTGAGAATATGTAGAAGGGGTTTTTGAATTTTTAAAATATTTTACAATAAAACAAAAGCAATTAATTGAAGAAAAATTAACATTACATGCGTCACGTAAATATAAACACTGATATCATTGGTTCAGTAATCAGAGTCATTTATAAATAAAGTATCTTATAAAGAATTGGACATTCATTGTTGGAACTTTCATTATCCAGCTTCCCCTTTTTTGTTGAAAATCCATGATCCCACAATGAGTGTTGGATTGATTGATTGTTGGTTGCTTAACGTCCAGTGGCAAATATTTCATACATGTTCAGGACAAGAACAAATAAATAATAGATACAATACTGAGGTAGGTCCTGTATAAATAGAGGACATCCAGAATGAAGGTCGGTGAAATTCGGACTGCCACTGGAAAATGAGGATAAATTGGATATGGACAGAAATTCAGTTGTGTTGAGAAAATGAGTGTTGGCGCCAAAAACATGACTCAATGTATTATATTTCTCAGTTGGAACCTGGAACATAAATTGACATTTATACTATTCTCAGGTTGAAACAAACTCAACTTGATATTAAAGTCAAATTTTTGTAGAAAAATCTGGAATGTCATCTAACAGTACAAAACTATTGGGACATTTAATTTATAATATTAAATAATGGCGGGAATTGTTCTTGTTTCAAATTGAGTTACGTCCCTTTTATTAAACGGAAGCAGTTTATATAGGAAGCTTTCGTGGCAACACAGGATTAGAAAATGCAAATCAAGACACAATTCTGCATTGTATTGTTTAATACTATTGTATTAGCATCACATGCTCATGAAAAAGTTGACGTTTTCAAACCAGATACTCATTCGCACGTTGAATTTGGAGAGGCAAAATCTGTGAGGTTAGACTGCAAGACAGTGCAAATTTATGATCTCGGGTTACCAGAGACTTATACATGTAATACCATGTTTCTGGTATTATAATGTATGTAGACAGGCTGGTATTGTGCGATATACAAATGGCATACATTTCAGCTTCAAAATCGTGCATGATATGAGCCAACAGGCACCTGTTTCATGCGTTGGTAAAGGCCCCCTTTCTCACAGGCACTTGTTTTCTATCCATGGCAAGATCTACTATCCCTATATATTAGGGATAGTAGATCTTGCCATGGATAGAAAACAAGTGCCTGTGCCCTTTCTGTCTAAGCAAGGATACTATAAAAATCCTTGGTCTAAGAAAGAAAGAGATAGGGGCCTTTATCTTTGCATAAAATAAGTATCTGAAAACATGAGTCTGTGTGTCTATATCTCTAGAAAATATATTTTTTTGCATTCTATAAACTGTTCTAAGTTGACACATCAACATCAGATCAATCCAGATAATCGTGACATCATCCTAATGACTAATATATTTATACATTTAACATTACATGTATAATTTTTTACATGTTCATGTGATATTATCAATTTTATATTCAAATATAAAGACAATCAGAATATAAAAAAAAAGATGATGTGGATTGATTGCCAATAAGACAACCATCCACCTGAAACCAAATGACGTAGAAGGTTTTTAGCAACTAAAGGTCACCATGCACACGGCCTTCAACAATGAGCAGTACCTACATGTATACCCCATAGCAAGTCATAAAAAAGACCAAAACGACATATTTAAAACAATTCAAACGAGAAAACTTAGGCCATAGAAAAAATATATGTCTGTGTACGGTTACCCGACCGAACCTAATTTGAGCGCCAACCCTAAGTAATTTTATTTCCGTTGTAAAGTGAAAAATTAACTGAACCTGTGTCAAAAGCAAAGTTAGAGTTGCCAATAAATTTAATCAATTGCCTGATCCATCCCAATGTTCACAATCATGAATATGACAGCTGTTTTTAGGAAACTTGTGACTTTTGTGATGAAATAAACAATTTTCCGCCATTTTTTTTCCCCCAACTAATAACCAAGGGAAATAACCCAATCATTAAAAATTAGGGTAAACTCGGCCCATACTATATCATAGACAACTCGTACCACGGCAAGTCTCATGTCACAAAAAATAAAATGGAAATACCGACCTACCTAGCTTATTATTTTTTCTGATGTAACCTTAGACATATACTATTTTTTGGGCCTTACGGCCTGATTTATGTACAAAACAATAAACAAAAAAAAATATAATATACATGCACAGCGACAAATGACAACCCCTGAATTACAGGCTCCTGACTTTGGACAGGCACATACAGAATGTGGCAGGGTTAAAAATAGTTCATACTTTTTTTTTACTTTCTGACCAGATTTTATGTCCAACATGACCAAATAATGTTGCATCAAGGAATTGCTTACCTTGATTTCATATACCGGTATAATAGAATTTAAAGCCATTTTGATGTTTTATTGAAATTGTAGTTGTAAGTATGTTTGTTACCATTTATCATGTTTATAATTCTACTTGACACATATGTAAAGCAAAATATTGTGCTATGAAATAATATCCCCTTTGACAAAATTTTATGATTTTAGAATATTATATTTTGTCAGAGGACAATTCTCCGATGAAAATTTCTCTATATATCGACAAAATTTCATAGTTTGATTGTTGTGAAATTTTGTATGGTTAAAGGGAGGTTATCTATAGTAATGTTTTGTCTATATGGAGACAATATTTCATAAAACTATTGTCATGAAATTTTATCTTGTTAAAGGGAGGTTATAGAAATTAATATTTTGGACAATGATATCTATTATCATTGAAGTGTTATATTTTATTGATTATAACAAACAAACCAAGTTAAATAGATACAAATGTATAGCTGATAACTTGTATAAAAAGTTTGTACAAATTTGATTACCTGATTCTTTAACTTCTGTAATGAATGTAGTTTTTGTTGAGCCTGCGAAATTTATTTTGCCAAAGCGTGACATAGCGTTCCTAGATTTTGTTGTCGGCGTCGTCAACATTTAGGTTCAGTCTGAGATTTTTTGTACATCAATAACTTTGTCAAACCTACATGGAATTTTATGAAATTGGGACAGAAGCTTGTTTATTACCAAAATACAGTATCCAGGGCAAAATTTTGAAAATCATTTTTCCATATTTTAATAATAATTATAAAATTAAATGGACTTAGTTTTTTTTACAGTTAACTTCAGATTTTGTCTTAAGTTAAAGTTTTTCAGTCATCATTAACTTTGTCAAACCTTCATGAAATTTTATAAAATTTGGGCAGAAGCTTGTTTATGACCAAAAGACAGTATCCAAAGCAAAATTTTGCAAATATTGATTTTCATTTTTCCGTATTTTACTGACAAATGGACTTAGTTTATTTACAGTTAACACTCAGGCTCAGTCTGAGGTTAAAGTTTTTCAGTCATAAATAACTTTGTCAAAGCTTCATGGAAATTTATGAAATTTGGACAGAAACTTGTTTATGATCAAAATATAGTATCCAGAGCAAAATTTTGTTTTTTTTAAATTGCTGTATTTTAATGATATATGGACTCACTTTTTAAAGTCATTATTACACTTTTACACTGACAGCAGCAATCGTAGGCTAGACACTGGGTTCCGCAGAACCCCTTACAAATTTTATTTTATTAGTATTGTTGGTTAGATCTTTTAGCCTGTATGAAGAATTCAGCTGCTTTATAATAACTAACATTTTCTAAATTGCTGGTCATTGCATCATGTCCATGATATCTGATGTTGACGACAGTTTTAAAGTAAGACAGTTTATTTATAAAAAAGTTTCATTTATAGGTACTTGCTGTATGATGTTAACCCAGGGGAAGGTTTTAATCTAAGACGGGATGTTTTTATGAGAGTTGCAAATTTAGTCAAATTTTTGAATGAAGATGAACCTTGGGTTCTTGTACTACCGCCATGGGGAAGACTTTACCATTGGAAGTCACAAGACCTCAACCAGATCAAGGTCAAGTGGTCAACTTTCTTTGACCTTGCAAGTCTAAGAGAACACATCCCTGTTATTGAATTTGAAGATTATTTGACAGGTTTGTAATTTATTTTATCAAACTTGAACTATCGTATATGATCATGCATTTATTGCAGTGACAGTTTGCTTATTCAGATTGCACATAATGAAAAATAGTAAAATCATAAATTTTTGCATCCATTTTTTCATGTTTATTATTGCGATATAGTTTGAACAATGAACAAAAATGGGAGATTAAGTATTGCCATTACAGGAAATGCTACAAACAAATATAGCTATCAAAATTTGAAATGCAAGTATTTATTTTTGTGAAACCCATCCCGTGTCATTTTGTGCAATAACATAGAACAAATTTTTGGGTTTACAGTAACAGTTTTACTTCAGTTCTGGACATTAAAGTGCATATAAACCTGACAATTTCAAATTATCTGACATCAAAATCTGAAACAACTGGAAAGAGACAAGTATATTCCTCACTTAGTTCACATTGTCTTAAAATAATAAGAACATCACTCCTACACCTAATGCTATTCAGAGAAAACAACTCCAAAACACAATTGGACATCTGTGCAAAAGAGAATGTTTATTAGCAAAAACTAGGCATATTATTGCATTTACACAAAAATTGGGGTGATGAATACAACATACAAATCATGCACATAGTGACAGACTACTAAGATGAGTGTATTAAACAATACAATAGAAATATATAACACCATAGTGGGCAAATACAAAATCCTGAATAAAATAGGATGACTTGAAAAAAGAAGCAGAAATTCCACATATCAACAAGAAAGTTCCTCAGGAAGATTAAAGACAACTGATCTATATGATAAGTATAACCTTGAAAGGGAAAGGGTAAGAACATGATCAGACAGAAGATAATTTATAGGGTTCTTCTCTCTTTCATGTAAAAAGTTCACCAAAGGGGAATAACTTAGATTATTTTTTTTTACAGCATCATATTTTTGAATTGATGTTGTTTGATATTTTATCATTCTAATTTTTATATATTAACTGTCTTAAATTGTATGTAAAATCATTTTAAAATTATAGTAATGGGAGAAGAAGTAGTGGAAGAAATTTATTACCTTCAACGATACAAAGAAGGATGGACTAATGGAAAGTGGGAGGAAAAAATGGACATCAGAGACTGTATAGATAGAGTACCTTACCAAAAGGTAATTTTTGTTTTTTGAACCTTGGACAAATGTAGTAGATCGCATCAAACAATGTAGGTGTTACTTTTTGGCATCATTGTCAACATATAAGTTTAAATGTTTTCAACATCAATTCCTCTTTCTTGTCTATGTATCATGTGTATTGAAATTGAGTAAAGGAGCAGGTATGATTCAAGAGCCATTATTTTGTCCTTGAAATTGCAGGAAGAAAAATTCTTTTAAGCCTTTTAAGATATTAGTTTAATCCCAAAATAAAAAGAATGATACAATCTGAAACTTGAGTACAGAAATGTTATTTTGTTTGTCACCGGAATGTCATAAACATTGAAATTGTCATATCGGACCGGTACCAAATACAGCAATTTTAAAGTAGTGTTGAATGTCTAGACTTGAATAAGGACAAAAAATATACACAGATTGTGGATCAGTTTTCATATGAAGGGCTTAGACAGATATTTATTATGAACAAAGGCTGAATGCATTTATAAAAAATTAATATCCTGGCAAATGATGCATTCATATGACACTTTGTCGTCAAATTTTTTTTTTTTTTTTTTATGTAAAAAAATAGCTCTTTGTATTTCTGTAAATATTATTTTTTTTCTTAGAGCATTCAGTTCAAAAGGAAAAAAGTTGACGGTACTTGTATAAAAGAATATGTTGTTACGAAATGATTATTTTTAAGGATGACGATGGTAAATGGAGAGGATGGTTTTTTGGCTATGAGAATGTTTATGCCAAAAAGTTTGCTTGTCTTTCTGTACAGAGTGAGGCTGGTAATATGAAGTCATTTTTGATGAAAAATACAACATCAAGGTTAGTAGAGTTATTTCTCTTTCTATGTTTTGCAACACAGCTATGTTTGAATAATGTACAGCCATGCTTAAAAGCTGTTCAATAAAACATATATAGAACCCAGGAAAAGGCACTTCAAAATCTCAATTATGGGTGCACGTGGGGTGTTTTGTATTATGAAAATGTAAGAGAAATTAATAAAATTGCCTCTATAGGTGGTTACCCCATTTTCAAAGTGCCCTTCCTGGGGACCATGTTTGTTTTAATAGAACAGCCCCAAGTTAATATGTGTTTCAAAATTTTATTGAGTTTTTAAACAGAAAGTTGATTTGATAACATTGTTTTCATGCATTGACCATTTCAAATTTGTCCACCTTTGTTACAAGGAGAAATTCCAAGCTTACTTCTGCTTCCTTTTGACATATTTGGTTGGAATTGTATTAAGATATTCCTGTGGTGCTCCAGAAAGCGGAGGAATCTACTGTTAAGAAAGATAGATAAATACCATGAAATACACAATTCGTTAATGTTTGTGTTTAATTTAAATCCATTCTGATATTTTCAACTATTAATTTAACTCTGATTTCTGAATACTAATTATTAATTTTAAATATTTTATTTTTAATACTCTGTCATCTTATATATAACTATCTTTTCTTATAAAAATCCTTTTCAAAATAAACAATTCATGTAGAACTTGGTTTATAGTTTTTAAAAATGAAGTCATTTACAAAATCATGAAAATTGTTAATACATGACCAAATGGTTTGTGGTTTTTAGAGTATTTATGAAGTAGAAAAAATTCATGATTAGCTTTGTTTTTATTCTGTACAAGTGTTCACTGTTGTTTCCTATTATCATTGTGAACATTGGAATGAGGGGGTGGGAAGCGGGATTCACGGGGTGGGAACTGTGGGAAGAGGGAGAGTAAAACTAGGGTTTTTCTGGGGAATATTTTTGACCGATTTTTATCTGGGAGTAAGGGGGGAGTAGCAGGGTAGGGAGTTGCCTTATGGGTTGGGAAGTGGGAATCCACCCCCTCATCTCGAGTTACAGTTGAAATGTTGGTGAAGGAGTTTGAAACTTTGGATTCTTCACATTCACACTCGACTCTCACATGACTATTTTTGTATTAGACACATGTGACTCTAACAGGTCAGCATGACAAGAGCCTTTACAAGTATTACATTTTAGGTCTGTGATGTTAACAAGAGCAGAAACTCTACTTCATGATAGATTTGGCAATTCTGTTTATTGGGCTGTGAGTAAAATTTTGTAAGATAGAAATGGTCAACCTTTGGTACATTTTTGGAATGATTATCTTGTATCAAGTGCATGTAAAACGGATAGATAGAGGTGGTTTCCGGTGTATATACTGAAACATTTATTGGTAAAGGTACAAAAAATGAAAAGTTACTCCATAGGACAGATAAGTTGTTACTGTTCATGTTATGACTTCAATTTTTTCTTGTTTCATTGTGGAGTGGGAAAAGATTTTTTCTACACAGAAATATGCTAAATATAAAACTCAAGTGTCTGAGAATGCAACATCTCAAGTAAAAGGACCGTTGAAACAACTCTCTCATAGGTTTATCATGGGGAAACAATCAGTGACCCTATTTGAGTTACCGGTATGAGTGGTAATCAAATATCTCCATTCCTTTCTCTAATTGGTCAGAACCTATTAATTGATATATTGTTATGATTGTTAAACTGTTTTTCTCTTCCTGCATATGAAAGATGACATTAGACCAGGGCTTCCAAAAAATATTTGAGCCAGCTGGACATTTTTTTGTCTTATCCCAATTTTAATCCCTTAAGACTTAATAACAAAAGGCAATCATGGTAATCAGTTGAGCATCATACAAACAATGATTGACATAGAAACGATATTAAACTTGACATTTGATATAAATTCTATGTGGTGACATAAACTGTTAAATTAACAATGCATCATTCGAAGTGTGCAACATCAGCATACCAATATCTGCTTTGACTCTTTATTTGTGAGTTGGGCGGAATGATTTTATTTATTTTTCATGAGAGCACTGATTAAAAAAAAGCTCAGATTTCCCTATAATCCATTTTGAAAGCTTCTTAATCTTTTGTGTTACTACAAGAAATTTTATTATATATTTAAACATGTTAAATGACAACATTTGGTAAAATTGGTATATATTTGGTGGAATCAAAATCTACAATTTCTAATTTAGAACAGTGAATGAATTTTTTATATTCAGTTTTTCCCTAATTTAAATGTTGTACCTGACATATTTAAATTGTACACTTCGCATACAGGTGATTAATTTTTTTTTTTTTTTTTTGGTTGGGAAACTTAAGTAAATTTGTTATAGGTAAAATTTTCAACCAAGGGCACAATGTACCTTTTTCCTAAAATTTTGAACAAACTTACAACTGAAAGACGGCTGTTCAACTATTTATCCCAGTTTGTTTGTTCCAATGATCAGGAAAAAATTATACCAATTATACAGTATTGTTGCACAAATTTTTAGCCATGTACCAGGACTGGTACATATATATTAGGGCCCCGCCTAGTGACGGGTCGCCCTATAGTGATCAGTCCGTCCATAACAAATTGTGTCCGCTCTATATCTAGAGAACCGTTATAATTTCATACTTTATACTTGACATGTATATTAACCAACACCAGAGGGTGTGTCATAATGTTTGTACAACTTCCTAGGTCAAAGTTCAAGGTCAAAACTTAATACAGTGCTTCATATCAGCTTATTCATACAAATTTTTTACCACACGTTATTTACAGCGGGGCCCACAGAGATGGCTCCCATCTCAATGATGTCTAGTTTTTCCTGTTTGTGAAGCATCATCATCACCAGGCAATCCCAGATATGTAATAATAACCATAATTTAAAAAAAAAATTTTGTTTCCTAACGTTTGAAATAGTGTTATAAACCATCAGGAAGTACAGCTTTTGTATATTTGAATGTACATATAGTTTGATAAATAAATTTGCAAATGATCTATGAACAAACTGCCAATAGATGTAATAAGAGGAACTGTGAGTCTCTCTCCCCCCTTAATGGAATGGCAAAGTTTATAATATGCATAGGAAAACTCCAAAAATAATGAAGAAGGATAAAAAACAAAATAAAAGGCACACATTGGCATTATATATTGAAGATTATGAGAAATTTTCATAAAATTTTTATCAGGGGTTTAGAAGAAGACCCTGCATGTACATTTCTTTGTACCTTTGCATGTGATTGTCCAATTTATTTCCTCATTAGATGATTTTTTGGCAAGACATGGGCTTTGTTATTGTGACCAGCCATGAGATTTTCAGGCTTATGGATGTACCAGGAACAAAATGAGTTTTTTTGCATTTTTATGTTATATACATAGATTCAAAACACCCTGACAAGTTATTTTGCTACATTCTGCAAAATAACTGAATTATGGTCATTTTTCTTAATTTTTTTTCAATTCAGATCAATGCAATGAAATCTAAAAGATAAATTGTGTGATTCTAAACGGGATTTATACCTAAATTATTAATTGCACGTACATAATATACTTGTCTTGTATATCTTAATTTAAGATTCAAATTTCCCCAAGTCAAGAAAAAATTTTATTTTATTTTACCACACGATATAATTAGACATTCAAAAACTGGTGCCCCGATAATGCTACTTGACTTTACATCGACGTTTTCTCATTATGACGTTCACCGCCATAAGTCTGGAAATGTCATGGCGGGTCACATATTTGCACACTACAGTGTACATATATATCCACATCTCCTTTATTCCTAATCAGATAATGAAAGAAAATTTCTCAAGCTCTTAACCATATTATGCAAATACTTATATTAATGTACATAATGGTGCATTGTTGTTTGTTTATGTATCCAGTAACCAAGTGCTTATACATAGGAAATGGAATTATTGACATAAACCCAAATTGGATGTTAGTAAGACATTGGGAAATCATTTTCTTTTTCAAACAAATGTCCAAAGAATCCAAACTGAATATAAAAAGCAAGGATAACAAACTACAATGTGTATGCTGGCTTCAAACATTGTCATACACATTAATGTAATTTGTGTGAGAAGCAAATCACAATAGTTTATTATTGTAGCTAAAAGCCATGATCGCTCTCAGAAAATAATCATAAGGATCTTATGGGAAAGATTGGTCATTTTAAATTTTTGAAACAAATGAGAAAATATATATGGTGGGGATTGGTGGCCTATAATTGCTTACATCCACTAATTTGAACTCTGGTTGCCTCATTGGCAGTCATACCACATCTCCTTTTTCATATAAAAAGAACTCCTTTGTAAATTATTTATCAAAGTTGAATACAAAGATTTAATCTGCCACTTTGAAACATATACTGGTACTTAGAACAAGTCGATAACTTGCACATAGGTACAAGGTAAGGTTTAAGGCTTCTTTGATCCTTAAGATTTATTAAAGCTAATCTTTATTGTGGCAAAAGCTAAGGTTTGAAAACTGACTTTTATCCCACTACAGGTCAGTAATGTTAGAAAGAGCTGAGCAAGTTATACATGGACAGTACAGTGAATTTAGTTCTATGTTTTGGATTGTAAGTCACATTCATTTTCCCACCTGTGGATTTTCATAATATTTTTGTTGATTTTTTTTTGCTTTCGCCATAATAAATCACTATAATATATGTTCTCACAGACTTTAATGTATCAATATTTCAATAAAGAATCGTGTCCATCATTTGGATTGTCAAAAAGATTCAGCACATTATAGAATTTACTACTATTTAGATCATATATTCAATATATTTGATATTTTATTGATTTATTATGGCAATAATAAGTTTAGTTCAAAGAAAACAGTTGGAAGAAATGTCCAGTTGAATTGGGAAATGATATATATTAATTTGACTGACCATAATCACTTTTTTATTAGAAGAACATTCATCTTCATTATTAAAGAGACAAGTCTTGGTTATGTTTTAAAATGTTTGGAGTTTTTTTCAGATAAAAATTTCTTCATTATAAAAAACAAAAAAAAAGTAATCAACAAATATTAAATGTGCTATTCAGCTGGACATTTGAACAGTAGTTTTATTTTTAAGATGTATTTGTCAAACAGCCAATATCTCATGGTTATCTCCCTTAGGTCAGTCATGCTTGATAGAGCAGAACAGCTCATTCATGGAAGAAGTGGACAGCATAGCACCAATTATTGGGATGTAAGAAATAAGTTTTGATGCTTTGAAAGTTCCCATTTGGATATTGCTAAACAACTGGCCTATTGGTCTACAGAAATTAAATCAAGTTTCAGGCATAATTTTGGGGTGTTAGTACTAAATAATTTAATTTTGGATGTAACGCGTCTTCTGATTGGCTGACGTTGTTTTGTTTATCAGCTCATAGACATAATTTTGTCATGTGACCGTGACGTCATCAACGTTTTTTCATGGTTTACTCAGGTTTGAAATGGAATTTAGAATTAAATTATAAGAAATGACTGTAATATTTTTTCTGTCTATTCGAAATAACATAAAAAATGTGGTGCACACTTTAAAATAACCCGCTACGCGGGTTATTCAGTGTGCACCACATTTTTGATGTTATTTCTTCATAGACAGAAAAAATGTTACAGTCATTCCTTAAATAATGCTCGAGACTGTTCTTAGGGAGAAAAACAAAATTACATTAATAGGAGAAACACTAAATAGAGACATTGTTGATCAATCATAGACAACCTAATAAAAGTCATACCCAATGATAAAAAGGAAAAATTGGTTCCCGTTCTTATCATTTGAGGATTTTGCTTTGTTAAGTAACAGTTTGTACATACCAGAATTTGCTTTTTACAAACTCCTGTTTTCATATCTTTTTATCGTGGCCTTGGGGACTGAGTTGTTTCAGTAGTTTATCTGCTGTTTCACTGGCCTTTCATCACTGAGGTTGAGAGTTCGAACCCTGCACTTGACAGGTGCGTTAAACTCCAATCTTAATTGACTAGGATTATCAGATTTATTGTACTCACCAATAAGAACTGGTCCCACGATATATCCAATAGTGCTGAAAGTTGCATTAAGCTGTCATTTAGCACCAACAGTCAGTCATATTTGATATAGAACAATAAACAAGTGACATACTCAAGGAAAAACATACATAATGTAAACATTGATTGAAAACATTACTTAGATTACTTAGATTAAAATTCAAATTGTGTATAGTAATATAAATCTTTAATTTAGTGCAGTATTCTTAAGCTTGTAAGATGAATATGGAATTAATTTTCAGGCCAGAAGGAGCATGGTGTTTGCGAAGCATTTAAGAGATATTGGTGATGAGTTTAGAAGAGAGTATCTTGATTCTACTGATGAAAATGATAAAACAGTTCTTGAAAGTTGGACACAAATGAAGGTTTGAATATGTCTTCTCATATTGATTATACACTTGCTCTTGATACAAATCTTCAAGGATGTTCCAAGTACAAAATGTATCTCATTATGGCAGCTCTTGTTTAACATTATGTGTAATGCATTAATTGGAGCTTTCCATAGGCGAGGGGGGCATTAAGTGTTACCCTTGACCGTTCGTCCATCCATCTTTCCGTCCTGTCTTTCCATTCTTCGGTCAGTCCAATTTTTGTTTGTTTGAAGCTTGAGCAGGGGCATTCGTGTCCTCAGACAGAAATATTCTTCTATTATTATGGGCTTTTTTTTTCTTTCCATTACAGTACTATTTGTGTAAAGAAATTGATAGAACTGTTGTGATGACATATTACTAAATCATATTAAGGATGTTCGCTACTCTGTTTCAAAATAACAAGCTTTTTAAAAGACTGATATAAATTGATAGTATACAAATAAAGAAACTACAAAAGCAGGATTGTTTTCGAGATACAAGCCATTGAAAATTTGGCGGGAAATAATTCTTTCTAGATTTTTCATACATTTAACATTGGCAACTTTTTTCTTTCAAAAGCGATGAAAAAATAACAAGGATTTTATAAGATTTTCAAAGATGACATTTTAAACTATATGTAATCAAATTATGGAGAGAAAAGTAGGTTTAATGGGCGAATTTTTTTAATGGCACTACATGGGTAAAACCAGAGGATTTCGAATATCTGACAAAAATTCAAAAACCCAGAGGAGCGAACGTCCTTTTATATTAACCTGTATCATGTTTATTTATATCTTGTTACAGAAGAATCATGGTGATGCAAAAGGTGGTCCATACATAAGTGTACATCTACGGAGAAAAGATTATTTGTATGCACATAAAGAACAAGTTCCAAGTCTCAAATATGCTGCCAAACAAATTAAAGAATTACTGAAAAAGAATAAAGTGAAGAAAGTATTTATAGCATCAGATTGTGATGAAAATGGTAGGATCATTTATAAAATATTTCATCTAGACTAATTTTAGTGAAAGTCTTTCAGAAATCTTTGATTAGAGTCCTAAAGTTTAAAGTTTTTACTGAAAGAGATATTTATTCTCTTTTGTCATGTTGGTTTATGTTTCCAGACATTTTAGTTTATTGAAGTATGTAGCACCATAACTGCTGTATTTAAGAAAATATCTTTCTAAATTTTGTTCAATAACTTTTTTAAGACTTTGGGATCAAGGTCCTTTTTTTCAGCAAAATTTGTGAAATAGGATGTTTAATCATCTCCTACAGTTTTCAACCAAGATCCCTGAAACTTCACAGGACGATTTCACATATGTTGAAGTTCTGCTATTTTGGAATTGTTTTAGGAATTTTCTCTTGTTTATCCAGACTTGGGAACTTAAGTCATTTTTCAAAATATTTAAATGTTCAGTATAAAGCATTCTCCATTGTTCAAGAAACATTCTGCCCAACCCTGCCATTTGAGTCTTTGATCTATTTTACAGATTTTGAAACACTGAAAGGTTTTTTTAAGAAAGCAGAGATTTATCGATACAAGCCAACACAAGAAATCAGAGAAAAATATAAAGATGGAGGTGTGGCAATAATTGACCAATGGATAGCAGCCCATGCCAGGTATGTGAAACTAGACTGAAAAAGATATAAGAAGATGGTTTTGAAAAGAATCTTCATAATTAATGGGATTTTGATAATAGATTCTTTTAAACTGATGTAAAAGTAGATGTCATTTTATTGAATGATGCAGTTCCGTCTGCCATCTAAGTAACACTTGTTATATGACATTATATACACAGATTAAGGATGATTTTTATAAAGTTAGGCATAGTACCTTGGTAATCAGTAGATTAAAGTATTCTAGTTTTATTTTTAATGTGTAAGAAATGGGCATACATTAAACTCAATTGTGTTTGAAATAATTAATCTTATAACCAACCTAAAGTGAAAGATTCAATCTAAATATCTGTGCAATTTAACATTGTTTTATTTGCTATTAAAAGGCAGATTTGTTGATGTAGTTTTTTTTTTTTTGCTCCAGAAACCAATGTTTTCATTCAGTAATCAATACATCATTCTTCTATTTTAGACATTTTGTCGGAACTTACGTGTCAACATTTTCCTTCAGAATTCAGGAAGAGCGAGAGATTTTAGGATTTGATCCAGAAACAACATTTAATAGATTGTGTTCAGAATCTGAAGAAGAATGCGAACAGCCCTCTAAATGGAAGATTGTTTATTGATATTATAATTTGTTGATTTTTTGTTATTTCTCCCACATTTACAATTATACCATAGTTCTGATTATGTAGGTTAATTTATGTAGTTTTCTGATTATGTAGGTCAATTAATGTACTTTTACTTAGTTAATTGAACTATATTTATTGATATAAAAGTGTAAGATAAATGAAGAACAATTTTTTCCCATACTTTATGTTATCAGATATTATTTTTAGCTCACCGGGGCCCTTCGGGCCCCATGTGAGCTTATGCCATCACTTGGCGTCTGTTGTCGTCGTCTGTCGTCGTAAACTATTTCAAAAATCTTTTCCTCTGAAACTACTGGGCCAAATACCTTCAAACTTTAATTAAATGTTCCTTAGGGTATCTAGTTTATAAATTGTATCTGAAGTTTTGATCCATCGACAAACATGGCCGCCATGGCTAAAAATAGAACATAGGGGTCAAATGCAGTTTTTGGCTTATATCTCAAAAACTAAAGCTTTTAGTGCAAATCTGACATGTGGTAAAATTGTTCAATTGGTCAAGATCTATCAGCTCTGAAATTTTCAGACGAATCGAACAACCCATTGTTGGGTTGCTGTCACCGAATTGGTAGTTTTAACAAAATTTTGCAGTTTTTTGTTATTATTTTGAATATTATTATAGATATATATAAACTGTAAGCAGCAATAATGTTCAGCAAAGTAAGATCTACAAAAAAAATAATATGACCATAATTGTCAATTGACCCCTTAAGGAGTTTTTGCCCTTTAAAGACAATTTTACACAATTTGTTCATCAAGTTTGCTAACATTTAAAAATCTTCTCCTCTGAAACTACTGGGCCAATTACCTTCAAACTCTAACTAAATGTTCCTTAGGGTATTTTGTTTATAAATTGTATCCAAAGTTTGTATCTATCGACAAACATGGCCGCTATGGCTAAAAATAGAACATAAGGGTCAAATGCAGTTTTTGGCTTATATCTCAAAAACTAAATCTTTTAGAGCAAATGTGACAGGGGTAAAATTGTTTAATTGGTCAAGATCTATCAGCCCTGAAATTTTCAGACGAATCGAACAATCCATTGTTGGGTTGCTGTCACCGAATTGGTAGTTTTAACAAAATTTTGCAGTTTTTTGTTATTATTTTGAATAATATTATAGATATATATAAACTGTAAGCAGCAATAATGTTCAGCAAAGTAAGATCTACAAAAAAGTTAATATGACCAAAATTGTCAATTGACCCCTTAAGGAGTTATTGCCCTTTAAAGACAATTTTACACAATTTGTTCATCAAGTTTGCTACCATTTAAAAATCTTCTCCTCTGAAATACAGGTGAGCGATTCAGGCTCTTGAGAGCCTCTTGTTTGAAAGAACCAAATACCTTGGTTTTTTTTTCTTCTAAAGAACTGAATATGAGTTGAGCATTCTTTGATATGGTATTAATTGTTGATTGTTTTGTTATCTATTATACTGTTGTTGTAGAGTTAAATGCTTTTTCCTGTACTGATTTTATATGGTATATTTGTGTTTGTTCTTTTCTGTGTGTTTTGTTAGTCTACTGAATCAGATTTAAATAAAAGAAGAATGTGTCTGAAGTATGAATGCCACAGCTCAAGCTTTGCAACAAAAATGGGACTGACTGATGGAAAGACGAAATTACTAATGGTCAAGGGAAACACTTAATGCCCCTGTCGCCTACAGTGGGAACATAAAAGTATGACATAGGACAACTTGTGACAAGAATTCTGACTAGAAACAGACAGATGAATAGTCTGCTTTTACCATAGACTTCATATTTTATTCTGTGTTTCATGCTGTTGAAGATTTTTGTAAATAGTAACCTGATAATTTTTATCATAATGGCTTAATTTGACAAGGAAGTATGAACCTTGCCCTGGTGTCAATATTTCTGGTGAAAAAAGTCTTAAATCAATAAGAATTAAACAAGAATTATATCAATAGGAAATATAAATGAAGATATGCATAATTACATATTAATTTTAGACTTTAGCTTTAATTTAAAAAGAAAATAAGAAAAAGAAAAGAAGACTTCTAAATGGAAGTAATTAATTTTTTTCTATACATTTAACATAGAAAATCTGGGAAACATACATATTCTTCGGCAATATTACAGATACTGTGTCTGAGAGACAAGAGAGTGTCCTCAAGGGAATGCATTCTTTTTCACAGGTATCTTATTAAAATATCAATATTGTGGTATGAAATGAACATACATCTGCTGTTTGTTTTATACATTCCTAACTTTTGTCATGATATTTTGTATGAATGAAACTTTAATATATTAGTTAAGTTTATGTTAGATTTTGGTTCTTTTATAGGGATTTTATTTTGTATTTTGTTTACCTTTTTTTACCAAAGAGTGTTCTACATTCAGATTTACCAAATATTAGAACTTAGTTTAAATAAAATTTTTAATTTAATTTTGTTTTTAGCGGCAATAAAATTTACTTTATAGGGAAATGGCTTAATACATTTGTGTCCTCCAGATAATAAAAGAGGGCCGAAAGATACCAAAGGGACATTCAAACGCATGTCAAACACAAACTGATAATGTCATGACAAAAGACAAACAACAGTATTCGGAACACAACACAGAAAACTAAAAAAATGAGTAAAACGAACCCCACCAAAAACCAAGGGTGATCTCAGGTGCTCTGATTGGGTAAGCAGATACTACTCCACAAAGTAGGAAGAGCAAATATTTTACAATTTGGCTATTTATATACCTTTCTCAAACCCTTGTTCAGCAAAATTTTGGATTTTTAAGATCAAAATATGTGTTTGCTTCTTCTTTACACTCATCTTTCTAGATGATAATTGAAATATTTTGACTATTTCTCACATCTTTAGCAATCTTGTCATGAACCATAAAGAACAGTTAGGATAGCAATGATTGTGTTGAATTTAAAGATATGCTCCTCGAAAGACCTAAAAATAATTGATTTGAATAAAATCTGGAATGAGATTTAAGTACAGCTCTACTTAATTCTATTGAAATTTTATTCATTGTCATGTAACAAGATTTTTATACATTTTTTTTATCAGGAATATCAAAGGTTGGCAGCACCTCAATGAATCAAAAATTAGATTTCGTCTGCAGTCATTTAAGGTATTACTTTTGATTCTTTTAAAATAGTTGAAAAGATTTGCTAGAATATCTTCAATCTCAGTTACCAAAAACTGCAACAAATACTAAACGTTTGGCTTTTCTACATTCTATATATTTATCGTCCATTTAGATTAAGAGATCGTCTAAATCTTTTCTTCTATAAAATAATGATAAACGTAGATACTTGTTTCCTCATTCAGATAGTAAAACCCCACTTTCTCTACAACTGCACTGATTCCAATAACATGACCAACGAAAGCTGGACTTTTTGATATTAGCGTAGCCAATAAAGTTGTTGAGTTTTATGGATTGGTATACCAAATTCTAGCTGGTACTAACTTATGTTTTTAAATTGATCTTGTTCATGTGTGAGGCATAGACAAACTCTTATATATGAAGACCCATCAGTTAACAAAATCCTTTTGTTTGACATTTACAAACAGTATATGTTCCGGACCATATGTGTTTACTCATATGGTACGACCAGATGCGTATAGTCTGACCATATGCGTATATACTCATTTGGTTATTAACCATATGAGAATTTAGACCATATAAGTAGTTTTCGAATAAATTCTAACTTTCTTCGCAAGAACACACCGCTCATTCTGCGAAACAATATCAGCACACGTTACCAACTGAAATCCTTTATCTTTGACATATTGTCTGAATCCTTGTGTTTCAGTTATCATGCCTGGAGTTCACAATAATCAACTTATAGCGCCTTTACCGTGTCAACCTTACATCCATTAGTGAAATGACAGGCGTTTCTGGCATGGATCTTTTCCCCGTTGTTTAAATAATTTATTTTTAGCTCACCTGGCCCATAGGGCCAAGTGAGCTTTTCTCATCACTTGGCGTCCGTCGTCGTTAGCTTTTTACAAAAATCTTCTCCTCTGAAACCACTGGGTCAAATTTAACCAAACTTGGCCACAATCATCATTAGGGTATCTAGTTTAAAAACTGTGTTCGATGACCCCGCCAACCAACCAAGATGGCTGCCATGGCTAAAAATAGAACATAGGGGTAAAATGTAGATTTTGGCTTATATCTCTGAAACCAAAGCATTTAGAGTAAATCTGACATAAGGTAAAACTGATTATCAGGTCAAGATCTATCTGCCCAGAAAACTTTTAGACAAATCTGACAACCTGTTGTTGGGTTGCTGCCCCTGAATTGGTAATTTTAAGAAAATTTTGCAGTTTTTGGTTATTATCTTGAATATTATTATAGATAGAGATAAAGTGTAAACAGCAATAATGTTCAGCAAAGTAAGAACTACAAATAAGTCGTCATGACCAAAAAATTGTCAGTCGACCTCTTTAGGAGTTATTGCCCTTTATAGTCAATTTTTAACAATTTTTCGTAAATTTTTGTAATCTTCTACAAAAATCTTCTTCTCTGAAACTACTGAGACAAATTTAACCATACTTGGCCATAATCATTATTAGGGTATCTAGTTTAAAAAAATTGTCCGATGACCCCACCTTCCAACCATCATGGCCGACTTGGTTAAAAATAGAACATGGGGATAAAATGCAGTTTTTGGTTTATATCTCTGAAACTAAAGCATTTAGAGCAAATCTGAAAGGTGGCAAAAATGTTCATCAGATTTAGATTTATCTGTCCTGAAATTTTCAGACGAATCCGACAACCTGTAGTTGGGTTGCTGCCCCAGGGTTAGTAATTTTACAGAAATTTTGCAGTTTTTTGCTATTATCTTAGATATCATTATAATATCTAATACTATTAATTATGATTTTAACCTTATTTTACATGATTTCCAAAGCATCAGTAAATACAGATGAGCCTCTAGTTAAATTTCTTTTAATTTCAACTTATTTTCTCCTAATTGTGTACTTATTCCTATTTATACGATCTTACAATAACAGTGACAAATACGTGCTGTCCTTCTACTCTAATGTTCCACATAACAATAGAGGGACAGCACGTATGACGTATCATCTACTGTTATTGTACGATCGTATGAATACAAGCAAATAAAATCATAAAAATCATAATAAAAACAAAATTAATTTGAAATATTTAAGAAATTTGAATTTGCTTAAAACAAATTTAAACACCTT